TTTCACACAGACCACACAATAAAGAATAGTAATATTTCTGTTTACTGAGATATCAGCTGGCATTTCGTTGCACGTCAATGGTCTATCTTTGCTACAGCATACTAGACCTCAATCTGGCATCTACAAATGTCAAGAGTATAAAAAAAATTATAGGATGGAAATCAAAAGCATGTTCTAAATTCCTAAAAAACGTAACAAAGTTCACCTAAACATATTTGCTGCAGAAATCAGTACAATATTCAGCTGTCAATCGAGAGAAACAATGAGGGAGCGATGCTGTCAGCAGGACAGGATAATAACATTTCAAGCAGATGTTCAGGCAGGGCTCTAATTCTTACAGAACTCCCTTGGTAAGCATTTAATTTCTTTATCATATGCAAGCTAGGCAAATTGTACTTCATCAAAACTCTATTGTGAAATATTAATATTTCATATTATAGCAAAACTCCATAGAATAACCTTTGTCATATTAAGAACATCAGAATTTCAAATGTCATGCTTCTGCATTTTAATGCATCTTAAATAGCTTTTTGGCTTGGCACCATAAATTATAACTAGTTTAGTCTAAATTACTATGCTGTAATATCAAACAAAAATACACCTTTTCTAATAGATTCACTTCTATAAAATACTAATGTTATGGAAAACAATGTGTTATTGTACTACGATATTTTACCACCTCCGACTATAAAGTGAGGAGCAGACAGTACCAATGTATACAAACACAACTAGCTGAAGCCTGAATCCATATATTGCAATAACGGGACACAAAAACATCAAATAGCCTGAATCAGCTAACTAATTATCTACCAGCAATGGTTTCCATTAAGAAATGCTTCTGCAAGTATATTGTAACATCTACTGAATTCTATAAGTCTAGTAGAAATTTAGTGAATTGTATAAACATATACTATGAATAGAAAGTTTTCCCTACTGTGGTTTAGTTAAAATTTAATCTAATTTTAATTGCAGCTTTGTTTTTAAAACCATCCATGCAACTTGCTCTCCACACAATGAAAAAAAATGTCAGAAATTAAGAGTGAAGTTAAGCCTGCATTCCTTTTTCTCATAATAAAGGCAACTGTTTCCATATTATTGAAAGCGACAGCATCACAAATCAATGCATGTCACAACAGAATAAAGACGGATGCATCTGATTAATCAGAATTAAATTTTAGAAGCAAAGGCAGCATATAAAAATCAAAGCAAACATTTCTGCCATTCCAGTTATTCCTTACTCTTTCCAAACAGCCTATATAATGTAAGGAAACAATAAATCCTGAGTTCAGCTGGAAAAAAAAAAAAAAAAAACCCCAATGCCTGCTATAAACTTCTCTCTCTGGTGTAGGGTATCGTATAAAGAGAAGAGGGAAGCACTTCATATAACCTCTGACTTATTTTGATATTATGGTTAAGAAAGTGAACTCTTATCTTCTGACTACAGGTTTTATTTCAAGTTTTATGTGCTACATAGTACTCTGCAATAATAAGTAAATGGTTCAGTATAACAATTATGCTAAAAAACTCCCACTCGTTGTTATCTTGTTTAAATGATAGGTATTTCTCATTCTGCAGGTAGCTTTCTGTTTTTCTAAGAAAGACTTAAAAGAGGTAATGACTGGTATTCATTTACTGTGGAGTTTATAATACTCATCTCCCTGATTTCTGTTCAATATCTCACCAGCAGAATTTAAAAATAATAGTTTGCAGCAGCACAGAATTATCTGAATAAGACAAAATACAATATGAACCAGCAGAGAACTAAACTATTGATCCTGCAGTGAAAGAGGGAAGATGTGGGTGTAGAAGGTGGTGTGTAGAAATGGGCACTTTTGTTCTGTTACCTAGTTTATCTTGTCAAGCGATAGTCTGCTTTAAAAGCAGTTATGCTCATTTCTGGGACAAATCTACTTGATATTAATTAATGCAGCTGTGCAAACATGCTCAATTTTGTAAATATAATTCTACAAATCACTACCCCCCACAGATACCTACAGACACATACAAGTACAGTAGCTTATAATTAACAGTTGTATTATACTCTAATAACTAGTACCTTCTAAAATATTTACAGTGTTATATATTTAAAGGCATAAATGTTCTGAACAAATTTCACCTATTATATTAATTATTTCTATGTCTCAATCATAGCACAGTAGGATGCAAGAACAAACTTTTGCCGGATTCACCTTTTGCTGAATGCAATTATGCAGTGAAGTATACAGGTGTTTGAAAAGCAAGTTAGCACAGCACAAAACATCCAGTTTAGGTAGACAGGTTACCTCTCCACAGGGACATGTGATGCTTTCACGGGGAGACCAAGACAGAGCAATAAATTCTGGCCCAGGTCCTACAACTGCAGAACTGCTACCCAACAGATGCCCTGTACAAGCAAGTGCAGCCTCCCGGAGAGCACAGGAGACCCATGCCTGGCAGTTTAGAAGTTTTCTACACTGGGCAGCTCTCGTTGGATCTCCTTCTTCCGTGCTTTCTCCTCCTTTGCTTCCCGATTGCATTCCATCACGTCAGCACATGGAGATCTACGGTTTGGTTGTCTTCGCTTTTCATTAGCTGCAAGCCACCAGATTCACCCTGCAGTCACATTTACTAAAGGACACTCATGGCCACTAGGATGGCACTGGTATCCCCAGCAGTATATGAATGCAATTGCAAATTCAGTGTTCAGCCCTGGAATATTTATCTTGCTGCCAAGATCTCCATTGTCAGATTATGCTCAGCCTTTAACTATTGCAAACAAGAGTGAAGCCACAGGTCAGGCCTAGCCGTGACAGATAAAATGAAGAAATAACAGGGATGAATGTTGAATCCTGCCTCTGGCACACCTACTGCAGCCCGCTGCAGTGGAGGGGCTTCAGCAACCGCAGAGCTGTTTGGGGCAAGCTCCCTGCTGCTCCTCTCGTGGGACCTGCAGGAAACAGGGCGCAGCTCTGCCTGCTCCCCTGCCCATGCAGCCTTGGCCGAGGACGTCTTTGCTCCTGGCCCTTGCACGCACTCACTGCTCACCAGCGTGGCAGGACTTGGCAGGGCAGCCCAACCACCATCTCCACAGCCCACGAGAGCACCCTGCTCCCTGCTGAGCCCAGCCCAGGATTCCTGGCCACATAATTAGAAGCAGAGAATAAAAACCAAAACACATTATACAAACCTGTATTATTTCAAACTCTCTATTGATTATTTTTTATAGAGCTATGCTAACAACAGTCGTCTTATAATACTAAAGCTTCAAACACAAACTGCTGTATCTCACTGAATATTTCTTCCCATTTGGAATATTATTTTACATAGCATTAAAATGTTGCTACTATAAATTAGAGCAATTATATGTCAGTAGTACCTTGAAGATATGCATTCAAATCATGTCACAAATACTATAGCTCAACACCAGTGGGATGTGCACCACTGAAAAGACGACAATACTAGAAAAAACAGTGCTTGGATGGGACACAGTGCTGCCACAGACAGCAGAACAATTCAAGACTTTAGCGCCTGAAAAATCTGCTGCCTCCTACCAAGTGTTGGAAGAAAAGTTTGCTAAAAACATCTCTGGACTATAATACATCATAAACACTTTTCCAACCTTTTCCTCTTTAGAATGGATACTAGGTGGAACATTTTGCACCTTATTGCAACAAACAAAATACATCTCATAACCACTGAAGAGGCTTGCTTTTACCTATCTCTCACGTGAAAAATCTCCATCCAAATCACACCTGCAGCAGCAAGGCAGCCCGCGCTGCTGCCACTTCAGCAGTGACTCGTGGACAGTCTGCTGCTTAGCAGAACATCCACATCTCCTCCTTCAGCACGTCTGTGTGTACTCCAGAATTCCCACTGAAGCTGTTCCCAAGCTAGAGCCTGCTTAGCTCATGAGATGCACTGTAATCAACATGCAGTCTGGCAAGACTGCAAGCACACCAGCAGTAAAACTGATTAATAAATAAATCTCAGTATTTGCTATGGGTTGCCTCCAGTCTAGGTACGGAATAATTGCAACTGTGTGCTTTACACATAAGTCTGTGTTAAACGTACTTCAATGACATTTATGACCTAAACAGTGTTTTTAATAAGTGATTCACTATCATACTAATTCACTTAAGGAATTTATCTAAGTAGATGTGGTAGATTAACAAATCCACCTTTTGTCTCCTGATAAGGTCTCCATCTATCAATGTACTCTTGTATTTCTATCTCTTGGCCAGGAATAACTGAACACAGCCTCTTGGATCCCAGTTCAAAGTTCCTTTCAGCCCATGCCCTGGCTCGTCACTGACTGACATCACATCATCATCCACACCCTTACTCACGCTCACGCCTATGCCCAAAGATTTATTTCTGATGCCCTTTCTCTCCCAACGAAGCCATGCCCCAGCTCAGATACAAATGGTATTTTTACTTTTCTCAAAACTGTCCTCTCGTTCACTGCCAAAGCCTCTTGTTCAGAACCCCATTCTGCCATTTGGCACGCAGTTTCTGTTCCACGAGCCACCCAGTCGCACCTACATTACCACACTGCGACTGCACCTCAGTTTCAATAGCTTATCTTGACAGTCCTTGGCATCTTCCTGAGTTGTCTGACAAACCTCCTTCTTTTGCATTCAGATTCCTCCTAGAAAACATTTTTACTGCAACACTTTAAAAAAAATAGCTGGCTAATATTGAACTGTGAAGTAAAAGGGAAGACCTTATATACCTTAATAACAAACAAGCCCCAAAACTGCGTTACTATTTCATCCTACTATTGGAACCTTAAAGATTATTCCATCTACATGCTGCATACCCTTTCCCTGCTGTCCTTTTACTAGCTGGATTCAATAGCAACATTCCCAAAACACTAAGATTTTTCAAACACACAAAGAAATGGCTAAATGCTAAATATGCCTTAAAAATATTTCCTTACCTTATCCAAGGAGAACATGCAGATTTTTCAAATACACAAAAGAATTGCTAAATACTAAATATGCCTTAAAGTATTTCCTTACCTTATCCAGGGCGAATGTTTTAGTGACAGCAAAGCCCCATCCAGCTTCAAAAGCTCTTCGAATCATTGAAGAACTAGTAGTAGGAGTTGCACTAGCAAGACCAAAAGGATTTGAAAACTTCAACCCGGCCATTTCTACGCTGATGTCTACCAAATCAATAGGTGTATAGAAGAGTGGTAGTTCTGGAGTGGATGAAATAGCAGCACCATATAAAGACTGTAAAAAAAAATAATTTTTGCTTATTAATTTGTATATAATTTACTATTAGTCCTGATAAGGGAATCATTTATATATAACAACACAAAGGTTCAAGTAGATTGTAACTCTTCGAAACAGTAAAATATGCAGAACACTCATATATTGAACAGTTGTCCAGTTGTGCTCAAATATGATGGAAATAGCTAATAATAACAAAACAGCTATTTCATAGTGTGTATCAGTAGCCTAGTTCCGTTCAAAGGTTTTCACAACTATTCTGAAGAGCCAGTTCTGTCCCCCAGAGCCCCCTCTCTACAGAAGTAGAAAACACAGGATGGACAGAGACCTGTGTCCAAGCAGCCAGAGGTGTAGGGATTGCAGAAAATGATAGAAACGGCCATGTGAAAGATCACTCAACAAACTGACACCCTTAACTCAGATAGCCTTAACAGAGGCTTTGAGGCCTCTGCACTTTTTTCTCCTCTTAAAAAAAAAAAAAAAAAAACTAGCCTATACAATAGGATACTTATCAATAAATGCACAATTCTTATTCAATATGAATATTTTAAAGATGACAAAATTAGACTCTGGTTTGGGATCAAAGAATAACATACACTTTATGACGGGAAACACCAAAGTCTTGTTTGCTTTCTAATTTAATGTCAGTATCTCAGCCTTTTCTGTTGGAAGTCAGAGAGAAATTCTTTCACTGTAAATGTTGCATCTAATATTGTAAAAAATGTACAAAAAGAATCCTTTGGCATGTATGGATACTGAACAACATCCTAATTGGGCTGCCAATAGGTAGAATTAAAATATTTGTTCACTTTAGAGCATAAAATCACACCACTTCCTTCCAGTTTTAAAAAAATCTCT